GGAGTGAGGTTCATGTGGTGTGTTTATGTCGTTGATAAAGGAAAAACACTATGGAAAATGTGGATACGTTGATATACACGTATTTTAAGTTTATTCTGCCCTCCCTCAGTCCAACATAAGTCTACCAAACAAAAGAAAAATCATACACAAACTCATACATACACAGTCCAGGTAGTATACAGACGGGGCCTAGTTGGTAGTGTTCAGGGTTATGATTGGCTAAATGATGACAGAATGAGCCCGTACCTGTGTTATATCAATTTGCGCGTACTCTCGCACGTCTCCTTCCCTCTGCTATCATAACATGGCGGGCATAAGCGCTTCATGACATTTTCCACCCGGAGTCAGCCTGTTTGCATTAAGAAGCCAAGGGAGCAGTATGTGTCTATTATTGATTGAGAAACTATAGTAGTTAGGCCCTTTAGCGGCATAACAGTTTGAGAAGATAAATTTGGTCACCAAAACTAGAAGAAAGAAATTGATTAATCAAAGGGGTTTTGGTACCGCTTAAGGTGGGGCTTAGGGCCCGAAAAACAGAGCATTAGGCCTTAGCTGAGGGACTGAATAGGAGTATAAACAGACTGCAAACACCGTTTGAGAAAAAGGAGTTTTTTCGAACACCTAAAATGCAAACCTTTGCCTCAATTCGTGAAATTTACAAGCAAACCGAAGGATAAAATGATCAAATTTTTCACTTTTAACGCAAAACCGATTCAGTATTTCTCGCAGTGGATGCCGTTTGACTTACTTATTCATCAAATTTTCAACCAGAAGCGAGTGAACCTTAAAATGCCGATTATCCGCGCTCATACATTTAGCCAGTCTTCGGGGTTAAGTGTGCTGGCAACTAGCTTATCACGAGAAGCACAATGAGAGGTTCATCCAGGACGCTAATGCATGTGCTATGCATCCGTCTTATTGTGAATACAAATGTGTGAAATGTTTGTTTTGATTGACACGTGAATCTTTATGGCATTCACGATAATCGTCCAGATCGAGTACATTAACTGCTATCTAACGAATAATTTTAGAAGAACATATAGCTAGTAAAAGGAGGGACTTGTAATTTGTTTTCCAGCTGACAAATAAATCTTGCCAAAAGGCAACGTTTAAAGTCAGAGTATAGAGCATAAATTGCTTCCGAAGCGTGATTTATTAATCTGGATTCGGAGGGTTTTCATGGATGTAGTCGGCCACATTAATAAGCCCAGAATATGCACAAAAGCGTGCAAAATGACATTCGATATGGCCATGCTTTTTTCCACCTCTGGATCGGTAATTGACCGCCTGTTTTGTCTGCTTAAAGTATTCGCTATGCCTGAGTAGAAAACTGATGCACTGAAAACGTTTGGGTTTCATTTTATAGCACGTATTTCTTGAAATTATTATATGGTGTCACATACTTGTCCTGAATCTAACGAAATGTTCCTTTTTGAATTCAAAACCAAATACTAATTTCGGGTGCCTGAAACTCTGGTCCACATTTGTCGACGTTTCGAGT